TAGACATCCCCTCACAGAGGCATCACAGGGAAGAGATGAGCCAGTCAGGGTGCAGTATAGCACTGATGAAATACACAGCTTTCTTCCAGTTCTTTGGTGCTTCCTTGTCCCACTATCATGACCTCAGTTCTACCCTACAAATCGGATTAAGAACCCACCGCACAGGGCATCCAGGATAGATAAACCCCTCAGGGCCAACAATAAGAGTAGAGATATCAGAAGGATTAGGGGAGGGAGGGGAGAAAAATGAGGAATTGATCACAAGATCAAATAGAACCCCCTCCCAGGGGGACCAATAACAGAAAAGTGAGTGAGGGGACATGGAGGATGAAATAAGATATGGAAAATCATCTATAACTTATCAAGGGTTTGTGAGGGAGTGCAGGTAGGGAAGGGAGGGTAAGAAATGGGGAACTGATATCAGGGGCTCAAGTTGGGAAGAGAAAGCTTTGAAAATGATGATGGCGGCATCTATGTGCAGATGTGCTTGACACATTGGGGGAATGTACAAATTGTGATAAGAGATGTAAGAACCCCCAGTAAAAGTATTGAAAACAAACAATAATGAAAGGAAAGAACACTTTATTTGCAGAAGAGCAGATAATCTAGCTGACATAAATTAGTCATATTCAAAGGGAAGAGTGATAATACATATTAGAAAACAGTAACAGTGTATGTTAAGCAAAATATTAAAAATTCCTAATTTTGGAACATGAACTTTTTCTTAAAATGCATGCCACATCTTGGTCATATTTTGGCTGTTTCCCTTTGCTGAAGTGCGGTTATGCTCAGGTCTGCTCTATGTGCCTGAGTTCTGAATCCTGCAAGAGGATCCGTGTTGATCTATCTGGAATATGTTTTGTCATGCTGGAGCGAGGAAGCTTAGGAGGTACAATTAAAAGGTATGTTTAGATCTTAAAATCTCAACTCCGAAATACCTTCTTGCAATGTCTTTCCCCAGAGAACCAAGACAAGCAAATCAAAGTTAATATTACGAAGATGGATTAACCTCCCCTAGGAAAGCTAAAGCAAGGATACAGTGGTGGGGGGACCTCTGTTATTAAAAGTATAAACATATCGCACATCACATTCCTCATATGAAGAAGAAAACAGTTTAGTATGGAGGTTATTTCTTCATTAATCCTGAAACGGAATTAATTGATTGGAGTTAAATCCATTTGTTTTTGATATTTAATGAAAAATTAACAACTATTTGTTGGGAAAGTATTATGAACTTTGCACTAAAATGCTCTAGAACATGAGCATGACTTATTTTTTCCTCCAGCCCTACATGGCTTTATGTATAATAAAAATTTAACAATAATTTTTAATTAAAAACACAAATTAAATCAATTTATAAGAATATATATGTATCTTACTGAAGAAGGCAGAGAAAGCATATTTTCATATTTGTTTTGTAGCACAAAATGTATTAATTTTATTCAATATGTATTTATTGGATAAATAAATAAGACTAGCATGGGGCAATAGATCCTAGGTTTCCTAATGAGTGAGAATGATTAAATGTGTCAAAGATGTTCAGAAGGAAAAAGAAGCAATCATTGTCTTTGGAGGTTTGTGTGAGTTCACGGAAAAGGAAAAATATGGAGAAATGTAGAAGAGATGGAATTTAATTTCTCAGAAAAAAAAAATGGCCTTAGTCAGAACTTTCACCAGGGTAATTTGGTTCTTGTAATAACGGATGAATCTATTTTATTTTGCTACACTATCCATGAAGGAATATGTAATTAGCCCTGGAATATTGATTAGTACTAGATCATGCAAGCATTTCATCAACATGAATGCAGTTCCCCTTCTTTTATTTCTGATAGCTTACCATGGCTTGACAAAGTTCCCGGGGTAAATGGGAGATAAGTTCTCCAAAGTAATATGCTTCTATGGTCTTCTGATGCCAAGTGCTTAACGATTCACTTTTCATTAGAAATCTTTAGTGGTTACAGTAAGATATCCTTCTCTGAACCTGAACATCCTAGCAAGGCTGTATGCATATATTTAAAGATTGCTTCTACATAAACTTTCCACTTCTTGTCCACCTTTCTAGTCATGCTGAAACTGCTTTCAGCGAGTCAGTTGCTTCTTTGCTTTGTAAACCTAATACTAAAGCACAGTGTTTTTAAAATCTCCCCTTTCTCTCAAAATGTGGCTTATTCTATTTCACAAGAAGTGCTTGATGCTTCATAATATGAGATCCATATTTTGTGAAATTATTGACTCTAGCTATACGTATATATATATACATATAGCTATATGTATATATACATGCATAGCTATATGTGTACATATACATGTATATGTATGCGTGCACAGCTATATGTGTATATATATAGCTATACATATATATGCATGCATATATAGCTATATGTATATATATATACGTGTATAGCTATATGTGTACATATAAAAAAGTATTTAGGTACCAGAAAAATCAGCCCCTTAGCTCGTGTTTTGCAAATCCTTTTCCCACCTCTTATAGAAAAATAAGATTATCTTATTTTTATCTGATTTTAGGACCATTTTAGACTTAGTGACATCAAAATGCATTTCCTAACTGTTATACACTATTCATTAATTTAGTAATAAACCATCATCCTCTTTCTATCTATATATAGTTAGAAAGTGAAAGAAGAAAAATACTTCAAAATTCATTTGACTAATTAACGGACTTATTCAAATATTCACTCTTTAATAATTCCAATTAGGGTAGAAAACTTTCCGAATTAGTATATTTTCATAGTATAACGAGAAAAACTTATCGAATGCACGAATGACCTTCAAGTAAAAGAGGTTTTTGAAAATGCAAGAATTAGCTTAATTAGGTAATTAAACAGTGAAAATATTTACAACATAATGTAAAGTATTGTGTGCACACATCGTATGCATCTACACAAATAGATTAAAACCTTAAAAACTAGAAACTTCATAAATAACTGACCAACCCACATTTTTGCGCCTCAAATGATAGAGTTTTGTCTGGGTAAATGTGGCCTTATGATTAAAAATGTGACAACAGATTTCCCTATAAGGCCTAGCGTTTGTAGCTAGCCAGAGATAAAGAAAGTTTATAATGACTTGATTTAAAGTAGTTTGTGTTGTACTACATATTTAGTTCAAGGTTTATTTCTTTTCCTTTGATCCAAATATATATATATATATATATAATTTTATTGGGGCTCATACAACTGTTATCACAATCCATACATCCATCCATTGTGTCAAGCACATTTGCACATTGGCTGCCATCCTCCTCCTCAAAACACTTGTTTTCTACTTGAACCCTTGTTATCAGCTCTTCATTTCCCCCGCCCCTCCTGTTAGGCCCCTCCCTCATGAACCCTTGTTAATTTATAAATAATTATTATTTTGTCATATCTTACACTGTCTGATATCTCCCTTTACCCACTTTTCTGTTGTCCATCACCCAGGGAGGAGGTTATATGTAGATACTTGTAATAGGTTCTCCTTTTCTACTCCACCTTCCCTCCACCCTCCTGGTATCGCCACTCTTCCTCCCCCTCCCCCACTATCATGATCCCAATTCTACCTTACAAATCCAGCTAGACCAGAGGATGTACACTGTTATAGACAGGAATTGGAAACACAGGGAATCCAGGACAGATGATCACTTCAGGACCAGTGGTGAGAGTGCCGAAGACACATTTGAACAATGTAAATAACATGAACTTGGAGTTTTTCCCAGATATAACTTCACCATTATTAGGAACCAGATAGCATGAAGTTCCAATATATTATCTTAAAAATCAGCCAGAAATAAGAGTCTCTGTAGAATCAATAAGGAACCTGATGGTGCTGTGGGTTGTGTGTTTGATTGCTAACCACAACGTCAACTATTGAAGCCCACCAACATCTCTGAAAGGAAAACAAGAAGCTTTCTGTTCCCATAAAGATTCACAGATTCAGAAAGCCACAGGAGAAGCTCCACTCTATCTGATAGGGTCACTGTGAGTCATAATAGCCTCACTGGCCGTGAGTTTGCTACAATAGATAGCACCAAAAGGTGTGTCAGAGTTCAAATCCTTTTAGTAAAATGAGATGAAATCTTGATATAAATGGCACAACGTTTCCCCCTGTGCAGAGGAACTCTTAAAAGGAAAGTTATACTTTTTCTTATGAAGTAGTTTTGAGTCAACTTCATCTCTAAAACATTTGACATGAATTATCCTTTACTTTTAACATTACAATGTGTTCTGTATTGTTTACTGCAACATTTAAAGAAGAAAATTTTAAACCTTCAAAATATTGGTGAAAATTGTTATCAAGTCTGACATTCTATATAAATTGCCCTCACAACATCCATATATGCGCTTTTCAATTGTCTTTTTCAACTCGTCTCAAGGTGTGTCGTGGGTTTGTATTGTCCAATTTGTAGTCTCTCTATTGTAGTGTGTGACACATAGCTGCTCATAGCAAACTTAAAACATGCTGCCATCTCCTTGATTTTAATGCATAGTGACCCCATAGGGAAGAGAAGAGCTGACCCTTTGTTTCCAAACCTCTCACTCTTTTAAAGGCTGCAGATTGACTGGTTGATTTGAACAACTCACTACATGATTGACAGCTCACTGTGTAACCAACTAGCCACCATGAGTCCATATAAAATTTCCCTCAGAAGTCCCTTAATATCTAATTATTTAAAAAATATTCCTCACTGTTTTTGTCTTATCCTCTGTGATGCTGAATTCTTTTCATAATTAAAATTAGAATCAGAAACTTATAAGCTCATATAATTTAATAGCTGAAAATATAGTGGAGCTCCATATCAAAGAAACTAGAGCTGATGTGGTCTATTCAATGCAATTATCTTAATCAGTGTCCCAAATAACTCCGGCAACATGCCTCAAAACCAAGACACCAAGAAATAAACTTAATTAGACTGTGTGACAGCGTGTAGAAAAAAATCATTGTTTTGAAGAAATGTAAGAATTCACGATTGATAAATTATGGATAATAGGGTAAACAACACATGGCTGAATACTGTGTTTTTTACCCGTAATCTACACAGCCAGACACCATGTCACAGTATTGTTTCCCTTTAACATATTTCCGGTGTGCTGTGTCTTCTTTATGGCATATCATCTGTAGAGGTCAACACCAGAAAAAAATAGGGTAAACAAAAGAAAACTTTAAAATAAGAATAATAACTAACCTAAGAAAATTTTGGGTTATTCTGTATTATAGAATAAAACTCACTATTAGTTAAATAATGCACACAGGTGAATTAAAATGAAAGTTACAAAATAAAAGATAAAAGAAATACATTTTTTAATTCATTAGAAGAATATGAAGTAAATATAGAGAAACAAAAGAATTAGGCAAATAAATAGCTAATATTTATTTAAAATAGGTTATAGAAAAATACAGTATAAGGAAATATTCAAAGAAAAAATGAAAATATTATAAGTTTGAAAATGGTACAAATGCCAATGCTGTGCTCACAGAGAGATTGATATAGAATATCCAACACGTAAACAATTTAGTTTAGCTATTGAATTTTAAGAATGTTGAAAAATTCCGATCATTCCCAGCTAGAAAACTTTTTTAACTACAAAGGAAAATATAGGAAGATTCTCTCTAGACTTTTTCCTTCTAATATTAAGTGTCAACAAAATAACCTATACAAAAATATAAGGAAAGGAATATACAATGCAAGAATACTATAAATATTGAATCATATCCAAGAACAAATATAAATAATTTATAGTCAAAAGGAAACTATTAGAATCAAAATTGTATATTTATTAGCATTTCCATCCAAATGCGAGAGTGTAATAATAGCAAATGTGAACATACACTGTCCTGCACATTACAAAATATGACGTAATATAATACAAGCTAATGTATTCAGATAATGACTATTATTCTGCATGCATGAGGTCAAAATGACTCAACATTGGCCTGCTTGCAACCAATAACATTGTTTTTTGCATCATGACAAGAATTTCAGAAGAAAATGTTTCTACATCAAATGGAAGTATTCGATATCTGCATTCATTTTCCTAGGACACAACACAATTGTGCTAGACCTTATTGGTTTTATATATTGTATTATGTAAAATTGCCGCACTTCATCCCTCAATTTGTCTTTCTATGGTGGCTTGCATATTGCTCTGATTCTCTAGTTTTATGCCTCTAGCATTTTAATACTGGAGGATTATTTATGTTGTACAGGTTTCAGCAGAGGTTCCAGCTTCCCAAAAAAGGACCTGGTATTTGAAACTCTTATGGGTAGCAGTAAAGTATTGTCTGGCAGGTTGGAAGATATTCAAAATGTGACTGGGGACGTATAGAGTTGGCCTCAATAAATTAGATATAATAAATCTATCCGTTCCATAATTTCCTGATATAATGCATCTCTAAAAGAGAAGAAAGAGGTGCAATGTACTCATTAATGATTACCATGTGGAATTATGATTTATGAACCTAGGAAAACTAGAGGGTCTTAAAGAAGAAAATAACTGCTCAAAGATTGATATCCTAGCCATTAATGAAATGAAGTGTACTTGGATTGACCATTTTGAATCTGATAATTATATGGTCTACTATACAAAGGCAGACAAATTAAGGAGGAATTTCAGGACATTCAATGCCAACAAGAAAATATGGATATTATCTTAAATACCCACCATATATCTTCAAAGAAGACTAGTTAAAAGACTCATTCAAAATTGCCTGGCAACCATCAATGCGAGATAGTAAGAAATAGAAAAAAATTAAGCAATTTCTGTAATCTAAACCTGATTAAATGGGCAATCAAATTGCATTGATAGAAATAAGAAAATTGGAAAGGAAAAGGAAAGATACAACCCCACTGCCAAGGAGTTGATTCCAGTTCTTCATGACTTATAGGATAAAATAAAATTGCCCCTTTGGGTTTCCTAAAGTCAAAATACATGAGGTAGAAGACAACCTGATTGTTCTTATTTGGAGGTGCTAATGGGCTTGAACCACTGATTTTGTGGATAGAAAATCAATGTATTACCCACTATACCACCATGATCCTAGGAAGAAAGATAGGTTGGTGGAATATATGGCCTTGATGATAGAAACAATGTCAGAAATAGCATGAGAAATACAACTCTCCTCTAGTTCCTAAATGTTTCCTCCCCACTCCCACTACCATGACTCGAATTTGACCTTGCAAGTCTGGCTAGACCAGAGGATGTACACTGGTACAGATAGGAACTGGAAATACAGGGAATCCAGGGTAGATGAGCCCTACAGGACCAGCGGTGTGAGTGGCGAAACAGGGAGGGTAAAGGGAGAGTGGGTAGGAAAGAGGGAACCGATTACAAGGAACTGTGTGTGACCTCCTCCCTGGGGGACAGACAACTGAAAAGTGGGTGAAGGGAGACGTCGGACAGGGCAAGATATGACAAAATACCAATTTATAAACTAACAAGGGCTCATGAGGGAGGGGGAGCGGAGAGGGAGGGGAAAAATGAGGACCTAATGTCGGGGGTTTAAATGGAGAGAAAATGTTTTGAGAATGATGTATAAATGCGCTTTACACAATTGATGTGTGTATGGATTGCGATAACAGTTGTATGAACCCCTAATAAAATGTTAAAAATAAATAAATAAATAAATAAGTAACACCAAAAAAAAAGAAATTTGTGAAACTAATAACTTATTAATTGCAAATACATTTTTCAAAAATAGAACCAGTGACTATGCATATAGATTTCATTAGATATATTAAAAACATATAATTCAGATCTAAATCTTCTGTGGAAAGAAGTTCATTATGGTTCACTCAGTGTTAGAAACAACACAGTGGTTGGCCATATATGATCTTCTCTGGCTTCTCTATTGCCACAAGTCAGAGGTTAGACAATCCTCCACCCTCCACCTTTCTTTAATTATTTTGACACAAATGATTCCTCTACAGCACTCTACATTTATGGATTTGATAATTCATGGCAATGGCCACACAGAACTCACAGACAATATTCATTATTAAGGGAGTTTGTTAGGGACCTGTTAACAGGTTATATCAAGTCAGGAATAATGAACTGTAAGGATGCAGTCATTGGTCCATAGCAGCATCTCTTATCAGCCAGCAGCCAAGATCCTCTTGCTGATCCTCAGTCTCTAAGTCATGTGATCCCTTGGCTTTTGTGCCAGGAAATCTGTCAGTAACTTTGCCTAGCAATCTCATCATCTCTGTGCTGCTCTTCTCTTGGGTGTCATGTTCTTGCCTTGGCCTCCGGTCTTGGTCAGGCTCATTTGTTCTCTCCTGAGATCCCCAGTCCCCAACCTCTGGTGCCTCTGGTGTCTACATCCACCACTTCACAGTGAGCTACACTAATGGCTACACTAATGACATGCTACATTAATGGTCCTCAATTTCTCTCTATTCTTTTGCGTTGGGCCTTAGACATGGAGTCTATAATGAGGTATGGCTTTTGTCTTTCAATATACTGTACATGCACAGAAACAAAAGATGATGACTTGGTACCACAAACTCTGTGAAGGTGGAGACTTAATCCCACCTTAAACCTGTCCATTGTTTCAAAGATATGCCTAAAGTTTTCAGAGGCTATTTTACTACTTCAAGAGTGGCCAGCTGTGTCCCCTATCATAGTCTGTCTCAGTCAAAGTCAAGGTTGAGAAAACAAAGTAAAATATTATAATAAAATTTCCACAGCCCTAAAGTTAGAAAAACAGAAAGGAAGAACATACTCAGCTTATCTTAAGCTGGAAGAACCCAAAAAACTTCAAGCCTTGAGTAACAATACTGAAAGGGTCTGTGGGCAAAATATTGAATGCTGCAAGAAGCATCAAAAGAAGATGGAAAGAAGAGAGACACTATACCAAAAAGAATTAGTTGACATTCCACAATGTCAGGAGGTAGCATATTAGCAAGAACCAATGGTACTTAAGGAAAAAGTTCAGGCTCCACTGAAAGCATTAGTGAAAAATAAGGTTTCAGAAATTGATGGAATATCAATTGAAATGTTTCAACAAGCACATGAAGCTCTGGAAGCACTTAGTCATCCACATCGGGAAATTTGAAGGATGGCCACTTAGTCAACTGACTAGAAGAAATCCCTATTTGCCTCTGAGATCCATCTTTGCCTCTAAGGAGCGCTCTGGCCATACCTCTTCTAAGAAAACCTTGATGGTCCTTTACGCAGTCAATGGCACGCTCATTGTTATTCTCCAGGACTCCGGGACAATACCAGTGCCCCAAGTTTTCTTCAGTCTTCTTTAATTAATGTCCAACTTTCCTGTGCTTATGAGGCAATGGAAAATACAGTGGCTTGGGTCACAAACACCTTAGTCCTCAAAGTCACATCTTGGTTTTCAATGCTCTAAAGCTCTTCTACTACAGATTTACCCAATACAATGGTTCTTTAGTTCTCTAGGCTGCTGCTTGCATGCACATTGCTTGAGGAGTCAAATTAGACAAACCTTTGACGACGTCAATCTTGTCTCCATTTATCATGACCTACACAGTAAAATGTCTTGGAATATTCGAAGAAAATCAAATAAACATCTTGCTCGTATTCTCTGCTTTCAACCAAGATCTATCTGACATCAGCAATGAGATCCCTTGTTTTTTGTCCTCTTCTGAACCCAGCCTGGATCTCTGAAAGACCCTGTGACCGTGCTGCTGCAGCTATTGTTGAATGATCTGTAGCTAAGTTTTTCTTGCTGTGATATTAACAATATTGTTCTATAATTTTCATATTATGTGGGGTCACCTTTCATTGAAATGATAACAAGTATGGATATCTTTCAGTCTGTCAGCCAAATCAATAGGTGTTTTCCAAATTTCCTGTCATAGAAGAGTAAGTGCTTCCAGGGCTTCATCAGCTTCTTGAAAAATATCATTCAGTATATCTGACCTGAATTTAGTATATCCTGCCTAAATTTAGTATATCCTGCCTAAATATCCTGCCAAGAATAGATTTTATGTTAATTACCGAAGACCAGACTAATTTTGAGATGTAATCAACTACCCTATAAATGAAGAGAGCAAAAATGTCATGTAAGAGAGCTGGAAAAGTTAGAAAAGGCCAAAAGAGAATGCCAAAAAAGAATCAAAATTTCTCTGACCCCTAGAGTAGCTAAAACCTAATGCAAAAAATAT